ATAAACAACAGGTATGTGGAAAATGTGTAGATAATGGAGGGACGGATAACAGGATAATAATGCCAGCAATGATGAATTACCTATAATATGAAAAGTGGAGCTACACATATGGACGACACTTACTGGGAGGGGAGGGGGGAGTTTTGGGTGCACTAATGAAGTTTGGTTGGCCTTGTGAGGCATTAATTATGTGTGGAGGGGGAGGGCTAATAGAATGATGAGGACATGAATGACGGGCACCTGATTGGGGAGCAAGTAATAGATATTTCTTTCACTTTACAAACAAGTTTGTTTCACATAAAAACCTAAGAATAAAACTAACAATATCACTTAGAAGTGGATATATGCTTCGTCCACTCTACGAGTAATTTTCACTCAATTCACTATTATGATTATTGTGACACTACACACTTATAGTAATACATATAAACAGATAGGGATGGAACACTAGAGGGGGTTTATCACCCCTCCTCTTTATTCAGGAACTTTCAAACACAATGAGTCACTGCAACAAAACATTTTTTTTTTGTGTGCCACGTTTTATTTACATCCATATAAAGTAGTTTATTATGATTATTTCTGTCCTAATATTTGACATAGGACCACAATAACATAGCACTGGATTTATAAAAGGGTTAAATAATATGGAAGACACATGGACCCATTAGGTTAGACGGGTAAAAAGGTAATCTTGGGTCAATGATCCACCTAATACTTATATGTGTGTGTACTCGTACTTATATGTACATGAATATGAACATACACGATAGGAGGTATGACGTCCTATAGAGAGATATAATAGCTCAACTAATTCCTCGGCACAGGCGGCTCTCCAAAAAATTGTTCGTTCCACGGGCACCCTCTTTTGTGGCCCCAGGGCCCCCAAACTGACCCCTGGACGGAGTGGTGACGTCGGGATATCGATCCCTGTCTACACTTGATCTGGGGAATTTTATCCGCATCCGGGAATCCCATTGGGTGGTAAAGTGAGAGGTGATTGGGCTTAGGGGGTGATCTTGGTTATGGGTGTCCCTCTGTCCGGCGGAGCCGCCAGAAGCACAGTTTTCTTCGGTGTTTAGACTTCAGAATGGATTTATATATTGCGTGATCTAGATAAACTAATTCAAAATTCAAAATCTCCTATTAGACAGATCCATGCTCCCCTGAGGAAGCAATATGCGAAACGCGTAGGGATTGGATACATGGATCTCCCAAATGAATGCGCATGAACAAAATGAATTGGAACTAGGATGCAATGGTTTTAATGTACTTAAGATGATATTGAACTAAGATTCTATTTCATGAAATGTACACGTTTTTTTATATGTCAAATAAATATATTTTTTTATATCAAAGAAATCAAGTGTTGGTGTTATACCTCTCAAAAACCCCCCACTTTTCTGTGTGTTGCTCATAATAGGGCTAAGCGTAAGGGGTCTATTGTTAGGCGGCAGCCACTGTAGTGCCGAGGGTGGGATTGGAGAACATTCTGGGATTTCTAGCATTATCCATAGAGGGATATTAGTCGTCTGGTGTATCGTGATAAGGGGTAATAATTGGGATGCTTGATAATAAAGTAAAATATTGGGTAGGCCTATACCCCCGTCTTTTTTATGTTTGTAGAGGGTGGTCTTAGAGACTCTAGGTTTCATAGGGTGCCAACTAAATGTTAGGATTCGTTTTTGTAGGGATCGTAATGCAAATGGGGATATGTCAATTGGCAAGACTCTAAAGAAATATAACAACTTGGGGAGGATACCCGCCGCCACTCTTCCGAGCCATGACAATTTATGGTGTTCCCAGCTAGTCATCAACGATTTTATGTGTTGGAATAGGGGTATATAATTAGCTGTATATAACGTAGAATATGTGGGGGTGATATTCACACCAAGGTATTTCAGGAATTGTCGTATGCAGGTTGAGTTAGGGAAACGTTCAGGGCCTCCGACTTCTTCCAGTTCACCACTAAGCCCGAGACCCCTGAGAAACGTTCCAAAACGTGTAGCAGGTTGGGAATTGAGGTGTGGGGTTGGGTGATGGTGAGCATGACATCGTCAGCAAAAAGGCTGGTTTTATATTCCACACCTGCAACCTCAATGCACATTAGGTTTTTAAAGATGGCCGCCGCGAGTAGCGGCGGCCATCTTTAAACCTGGTAAGTCCCCACATCCCATTTAATATATTGCCGAAACGGCAATATATTAAATGAAAATCATTCCCTGGTGGTCCAGTGGGGAATCAGTATGATCTGCATCTCTTGCTGATGCAGATCATACTGATGGCTCCCTAGTGGTGCTGCCATTGACTAGCAGGGATCGATGTATGGTCTGCATCAGCCTGAGATCACACTGATTCTCCACTGGACATCAGGAGAATCCCCGAGTGCCACACTGGACCCCAGGAATGCAGCCTCCCTTCCTGCAAAACAGGTAAGCAGGTAAGAGAGAGGGACATTTTTTATTATTAACTATTGTTTTAGTTGTGTGTGTGTATGTGTTTTTAACCACTTCCCACGGGTTCACGTAAATGTACGTCCTCCACTGGAAGTGGTTATAGTAAGAATATGGCTGCTCCTGCAGCCGTGTTCTTGGTACCGTTTTAAGGCCTGTTCACACCACTTGCAGTGCGTTCCGGCTGGAACGGACTGTATCGCATTGCAGCCAGCTCATTGAAGTGAATGGCGCTGTAGCTACGCCCTCCGGCCGCAATGCGATCGCCCGCACGGGATCGCAGGGCACAGTCTGGTGCAATCAAAATGCTGCAAGCACTATTTTAAACCGCACTGTACCGGACCCCATGCACAATGTGCCCTGCGATCCTGTGCGGGCGATCGCATTGCGGCTGGAGGGTGTGGCTACAGCGCCATTCACTACAATGGCCCATCGCGCCCCCTCCTGCCCGGGAAAAAAAAAATGGAGCCGGCCTCAATGCGAAGCACTGCGTTCCGGGCCGCAATTGGGCCGGTACGCACTGCAAGTGGAGCGACATGAAGAATCGCGCGTTTTTCCGCTCGATTTCATGCTGAGCGGCATTGAGCTGCATTGCCCCATATTGAGCGACAGTGCACATTTTGTCGCGCTACGTAGCACGACTTTTGGGAGGGACTTCGTCGCTGCTACATTGGACTGTAACCAATCAACAGCGGTCTTGATGTGACATTCTTTCCTTCCATATTGCTGAGCAAAAGTGACCCTTCTGTAGCGCGATGTCGTGAAATATCGCCTGTAATGCGCAACACCATTGAGTCTATTGGGGCCAAATCGCGCGACATATGCCGAAAAATAGGTTATGTTCAAGCTACAAGCTTGAGCGACAAGCTACAGGCGACATTGAGCTGTGAGATGTTTACAGCTCCATTGAAATACATTGGACAAGCTACATTGAGCGACATTGCGCGGAAATATGCGTGATTTTGGAGCGTAAATCGCGCAATAAACCGCTCAGTGTGAACGGGGTCTTACCCTGGGAGATGACCTAGTGTCCTGCATCAGTTTGTTGCTGCCTCCGCTGACTTTTTGCCAACTTCTGCCCCTACATTTGTCTAGCCTTTATCAGTATTCACCAGTGGAGTCGCTACCTGGCGATCGTTCTGCATCTCCAAGTAAGCCCAATACCCCGGAGGATATATGTATTCTGTGACAGGAGGGGAGTGACATGAATGTAAGTATGTGAAGCTGGATAGGGCAGTAAGAGAACCAGTTTCTTTTCAATGTGTGGCAAATCACAGGTTGACTTTTTCACTTCTGCAGAAACATTATAAAGTGACAATGGGAAGCAATGTCTTTTTACAGCTGTATTCATTCCACCAAGTGCTGTCAATAACAGTTGTACATGAGCCCACTATTGAAGGTGGTGGGATGTGAGGATCCCTTTGCTTTACCATAGGTAAGCATCCAGGGGTGTGGACATTTTTTTAAAAACTACTTATCCAAGGGCTAAAGCAGGGGCCAAATCTACTTGTCCTTCATGACAATTTACTTGTTGCAATACAAAAAAATAGTTTTAATCAAAACTAGGGATGCACCAATACTGGTTTTTGGGTATCGAGTACAGGTACTGATATTTTGCTTTCGGGACTCGCCGATACAGAGTATTGGTGCTTTCCGTTGGCATGGAGCAGGCTTCCCATGGAATCAGGAAGCCGGGCAGCGGATAATGAGATGCTACCCGGCTTCCCGATTGCCATGGAAACAGGCTCCATGTTGTTTGGCCTGCTTGATTGTGATTGCCCGGGAAACCAGCTTCCCAGCCAATCAACATCGAGGCAGCTTCTCGTCCAATCAGGAAACTGGGAGGCGAGTAATGACCTGGAAGCGGGAGGAAGGTCATTAGTCGATGCCCCGCTTCCTGATTGCACGGGAAGCTGGCTCCATGTTCCCCTATGGCACTGCCGGTCAGAGGAAATCTTCCGCTGACCGGAAGTTCTGATATTGGAGAAGGTATCCCAGCTTAATTTTATTCACATAGGGCAGGTGTGGCCAAACTCTGGCCCTCCAGCTGTGGTGAAACTACAAATCCCATGATGCATCTCTCCGGGAGTCATGTCTGTGGCTGTGATGTGAGAATCTTGCAATGCCTCATGGGATTTGTAGTTCCACCACAGCTGGAGGGCCGGAGTTCGGCCACCTCTGACATAGGGGCATAAAAGCCTCCTTGCAGCTGAGACAGGTGGCGCCATCATTACAGCGCTGCGGTCTCAGTGATCACACAGAGAGCAGACGAAGCATGGACGTTCTTCGTTCACGACCGCCTCTGCTCCTTTCCTACAAGTGATCTGATTAGATCACTTGTATAAAATGAGCGGCGGCTCCCCAATGTACATTTAGCTCCACTTGTCCAGAACAGGGCTAAATGTACAAAAAAAAACTACTTCCCCGGCGCCCGAAACTGCATGTCCAGGGTGTCGGGCGATAGGAATTCCACACCCCTGGCAGATAAGGGATTACATTTGTTCAGATAAATCCTTCATTTAGGCCAAAACCCTTGAACTAAAATAATACCTCTTCAGACATCTGTTCCATTTGGTCTGGTGTGGCTGACCCTGCACCAGCCTCAATGGCCATATGCAACAGTCCTTGAGCACTGTGTGGATGTTGTCTGTTTTCTTCATGTCCTCTGTCTGCCATGGCAATTTCCCACTGTGGACAGCAAAAAAACAAAAAGACGTGACTTCATTTGCAGATATATATTTTGGCATGCATGAAAAAAAAGTGATTCAGGTAAATATACTCATGCTAACATGTAATGCTGCTGTTGTAGTCCTGTTATGACTGGCCACAGGCAGTTAGATATGTCACAGACATGTACCCATCCTTATACACATCAACAACGAGAATTGTTTTCTGTCCGATGTAATCAATGTGCGGATGTGGTACACACAGTAAAGCACACATTCACCACCTGATTGAAAAAGGATTAACCAATATGTTTCCAGCACACTGTAAAATCTTCAAATCACATTCTTCCAGTTCTCAAGACTTACTATAACTGACTAGTTATCCCCTTCATGGCCTGAATGTCTTACAGTTGTCACAAGCCGTGTCACTAACTGCTTCAATATTTTCAGTCTGCATGATATGTCCATCCTTTGTATAGTGCTGCAGAATAGGTTTACATCGTATAGAGAAATAATACACTAGATATTCTGAGCCATCATTGATGTGACCAGATTCAAGACGTGAAACTATTCTATGCAGATAGTCGCTTTAAAATTGTTGTTCTCGCCCACCCTTTGTTTCATTTCATACTGACCAACATTGAGGAGCATGACCTGCAGCCTCACCTATGTTTTTTTTCCACGCATTTCCCCATTGATTTTAACACACACGGCAAATGCAGGCTAGTAGCTTCTGTAGCAGATTCTGGCCACAATTGGGGTGTAATTAACAACTAATGGCACCACAAGCGCATTGCGCGTTTTTCATGCATTCACGGCTAGGTGTGAACAAAGACTGGAGGGTGGGCCAGAGCTCTGCCTTCAGAGCCTAAAGAAAAAGCATGCTTTTCAAATTTAGGCCAAAGCAAGTGTTCGCTCCAACCTCCCGAACCACACACACACACACACACACACACACACACACACACCACGTTCCTGCCGTATTTACTGTATTTTAGCTGCAGCTAACGTTTATTTTCATAATAGAGTAGTTAGCCGATATAAAACTTTGATTAATCCGATATAGATTCCATCTCGTGATGCTGTCCTGGAAGACGTTATGGGAAATTAATACTGTCATTTATTTCAAATAAAATACACAAATGCAGCGTTACAGACAAAGTTTACTGCATAATAAAACAGTATGCACGTTTTTTGAAATCGCACTGCACTGGAACACAGAACATTGCAGAACCGCACCTTCCAGTGCGGGCCGATCACACTGCGGACAGGAGGTGCATTTGGGATCCATTGAAATGAATGGCAACGCAACGCACCTGCTGCAGCAACATTTGTCAGGCAGAAACTGAAAATGACTTTTTATATATATTTTTTTTAATTGTATGCATTAGACATTTTATTTAGTTTCATGGATTTAAAATAATGTGAATTGTAAAACTCAAAGCAAATATAATAAAATAACCAACCTTTATTTAAAATAACACCAACAAATTTTTATTTTTCTATTTTAATTCTAGTTTATTCAACTTAATTTTTCTTTTATTTGTTTTGCATTTTTAACTTTGTCTAATTTTAGTTTAACTTTTTTTTTTTTTTACTTTATTGCTGGGAGCAATAGCCAGCCTGCTGTTGGGTATTTCAAACGGCGAGAGGAGGCACGGTCGGGCCAGGTGAGAGGAGGCACGGGAGGCAGAAAAGGACCAGGGCAGCAGTAGAAGTACGGGGGCCAGCAGGGGGGGATGCAGTCACAGCATTCTCTGCTCTCCGCTGGTTCCGGCTGCAGTGGTCTGTGTCCCCACTGCCTCTGCCAACGCAGGCGGGGAGAGCAGCAGGGATTGAAGGGGACACAGACTGCTGCAGCCAGCACCAGCTGGGAGGAGAACGGAAGAGCAGAGCGGCTGCAACAAATGGAAAATCAACTAATCGATTAGGAGAATCGTTTCCAATTATACTTATTATCAATTATAATCCATTTAATAGATTAGTTGTTGCAGCCCTCATCTGTAGTCCTGTGTAGGCTCGGACTCCACAGGCATACACACGGCTTTCCTTTTACTCCCAACAGCTGGACAGATCAGTGAGGGAGTGAAAGGAATGCAAGCAGGGCTGTTTCTATAATTAGGCAACATGAGGCTGTTGCCTAAGGAGGCATCTCTTTGGATCACATGGGGGCGGCAGGTAGAGCCCTTTCCAGCCAGACCATCCCAGGTTCCTAAGAGCCGGGTGGGGAGATGTGTACAGGACATACACCTCTCCCCTCCCAGCTCTTAGCAACTTGGGACGCTCTGGCCGGCATCCCTCCCAGCTCCTGGCAATCAGTGAACTTAGCAGGATGCTGGTCAGGGCTGGGGCAGGTGCACCACCAGGATGAAGGCCAGAGCTACGTTAGCGTGCACTTCTAGCAGATCATCAACCGCCCCCCTCCCCCGGAAACATGTCCCTCCTCTGCGCCTCAGGTATACTAGGAAAAACAGGATGTCTTGCTGCACTCCTAACCAGAATAACCCCAAGCTGGGTGGGTGCTTGTAGTGACCACGGGAGGCACCGTGTGAATCACAGAATAAAGGAATAATGTCACCAGCACACCAGCACACAAAACTGGTGTGCTGGTGACATTATTCCTTTATTCAGGTATACTAGGGACACCCCTGAATGCAAGTAAGTGTATCTGTAAAGGTGTGCATTAAAGGATTGTCCTGCAAAGAAAAAAAATCACAGATTCTCTTTAAGAGTTTGATAAGTTAAGTTGCTTCCTTCTACTGTTTTGGGATATGGATGTATTTTTCACTCAGGTGCCAAGTAAAAAAATACCGTATAAAAACACAACAGGAAAGTTTAAGCACAGTTAAATTAGTACAATGAAAGGCTCTTGTATGGCAGTTCATACAAGGACCAAATCCATTTATAAAGTAAAACAGAAACCATCCTTTCCCTTCCCTGACTAAGCCAAATCCTCCTTCATTTGTGTCTCACACGCTCCTTCTCCCAGACACTGCAGCTCACAGTGGCAGTGCTGTCAATCCAGAAAACAGTTGCCAGAACTAGGTGTGCCTAGGAGCATAAAATCATTATGTCAACAAGCTACAGGCTTGCGAATCAGCAGTGGCAATGCTGATAGCCATGTCCCCTGCAACATTTTTTCACCCCACTGTAGCACAAGCATACACCGCCTAAACGAGAGTGGTAACTCTGCTCTGAATTCAGGAGCAGTGCAGCATTATTGCCATCCTATCACAGGAAGCTGCATTTGGTGGACTACACTGGAAGAATCAACAGGTATTTCTGGGACTTTACAGAGGGGCAAAAATAAAAAAAACTGTAAGTGCAGATGACAAGTGCTGCTGTGCATACTTTATTTTTAAAAGAGAGGCCATAGTTCTAATTTAAATCATCCTTGTGTCTTCAGGGTAAAGCGAAAAAAATCCACTTTGAAATCCCCTGCTGGAATCCTGTAAAATCCACTCATATGTGCTCCACATAGTGCTAATGCAGGCAGTGCTCTAATCCTCTCCCAACCCTACACAACTGCGAAATCTACCAATATCATCCCTGTCATTAGGACTTGTTTGTCCATAAGGGATTAGGAAGCACACTTATGTGCATACCAGGAGGTAGGTACTTTTGTAAATATGAAGACGTAGAAGTTGAAGGATACCTGTTCGTGCTTGTGTTCTGACAGACCAGATCTCCAGCAATGCGTTGAGGGAATTGGACTCCCCTGCTTCAGGGCTAGACCAACAATATATAATGAAATCAGGAGGAGCTGTACTGTGTAACCTAAATTAGAACCGGATGAGCGATGAGCGGCAGTCTGACCAGATTGCAGTAGGGAGGACCTCTAAAAGAAAGAAAAAAAAAAAGAAGTGTTTATTGTTTTGTTTTAAATCTGCATTTGTGTAAGAGGCAGACAGAAGAGAGGCATTTTAAGATGTGGACTCTTTACATGAACTTCTTCTTAATTCTTAAAACAATGCACCGCGCAGAACCTCTCTTAACAATATATCAAACAAAGAGAGGAGAGGTTAAGAGAGGTTCAGCGCGGTGCATGGTTTTAAAAATTTCACACTACATAGTTGGCACGGCAGCGGACTTTATATAGTTAATTTTGACACTTAGCTTATCGGTATCTAGAGCTGCAACAGTTAATCGATTAAGTCGATTAAAATCGACGATTGAAAACGTTTTCAATCGTCGATTCGTTGGCTATCGATTGATTTGCCTGTTCAGGGCTCCACGCGCGGCCTGAGCCACACGCTGCGGCCGCCGTGCCCACCGCACAGGCCACATAAGCCACGCCCACCGCACAGGA